TGAAATGAATGGGCGGAATATTCACTGGGGAGGGAAGCGTTTGGGGTCATATTCCCGACTTTTATTCCAGCTCCACCTTCCCAAGGGGAGGAGGGGTTTTTGTCGTTATTTAGTCTGGGTCCGAAGTGTCATGGCATCGGTGCATGATGGGCACTTCTAATCTGCAAGGCTAATTTTATTGAAATCAGAGCATAATGAGCAAAAGGTTACATTCGTACACTGGAGATTCCTGCCTTTTCCCACCTTTCCTTGTTGGCCTCCAGGGCCCTTGTCACCCCAAACTGTGTGACCGCTCATCAGCCCATAGGTTCCTGCTTGCCTTTCTCTGCCCAGGGGCCCCTGGTGCTTACATGATGTAGGGTTTCCTGCATTTGGCCGGTGCCCTTCCTTTGTGCCCAATTCCTGCCATTTGGCCTGCATCCCCTTTCTCTGCTCATATGTAGCTATCTGCCTGCTCTCACTAGTGAGGGTAGAAAGGAACCTGAAGAGGGACTCACAACAGTTCAGGAGGTGTTTCTCTAGAACAAGGGCGATACAGACCCTGGGGAATCTCTGAAGCACATGACCAGGACTGACTGACAACACTAACAGTGGTTCGACCTGTGTACAAACCATGGGCTGGAAGTCCCCAGGGGTCTCCTCTCCCTCCCCACTCTGCTTCTCCGTGCTTGAAATCCTTAAGTCAGTGGTTACAGTCTATATTGGTTTGAGAGGGATTCTACCAATATGTTTGCATTACACGAAAAGGAAGAATGATTTGTTTTTTAGCGAGTTCTGAAGGAAATACACGTTACGGTCAGGGCCTGCCAAGGCAAGACTGGGACGTGGAATTTTGTGTTTGCTTTGGCCACTCAGAGTCCTGGCCCTTTCACTTGTTCTCACCCTCCCTCTCCATCATGTTGATGGAAACTATGTGATAAATATGCACTGTTGTGCTATTAATATTTTATTTGATAAACAGGTATATGATAAACAAGAGGGCAGGTTTTCCTTTCCTTTTCTTTTTTTTTTTAATTGAAGTATATAGTCAGTTACAATGCATCAGTTTCTGGTGCACAGCATCATGTCCCAGTCATGCGTATATATACTTGAATTCGTTTTCATATTCTTTTTCATTAAAAGTTATTACAAGATATTGAATATAGTTCTCTGTGCTGGACAGAAGAAATTTGTTTATCTGTTTTTCTTCCTCCCCTTTTCTTTACTTCCACCTTTGATTTCCATTTTCCTGCTTTCACCTGGCCACTCTGAGGCCATGCCACGTGTCCTTTTCTTCTGACTGGGATGTGGAACTGCGTGTAATGCAGTGACTCCCCACCTCCACCACCCACCCACTGCGACTCCCACCCCCTCCTCCTCGAGGGTCCTTTACCATCTTGCTCTACAATTAAGGCTACCACTGATGAGATGCAACAATACTCTCTCTTCCTTAAAAAAACAGAACACAATAACCTCCCCAAACAAAAAAAATCTACTTATAACAGCTGCAGGGGAATTCTTTCCCTTGGCTCATACATATTCACAGACCAACTTGAAGATCTACAGAAGACAAGGAAATTTGTAGCCTTTTTCTCCCCCAAGGGAATAAAAATTTTGGTTGATTGTGAGTTTCACAGCCTCCCAGTTAGGAGATCATTGCTTAATTGAGACCTTAGAATTTCTGATTTTGACATGAGGACCCAGTTATCCTGGTGTGTAACAGCCAAGCTCCCTGTCTAAAAGCCATGTAACCACACCTTCAGGTCACAGGGCTGTCCTCTGGAGCACATTATGGTATTTCGGAGCTCTGCAAAGCAATTTGATATCCTAACTTCTGCCTTTTTCATCTCTCAGGCTGCCAAGGGTACGCACAAAACTCATCTCTGACAATGGTCAGCAGAGTATTGAAGAAATTATAGCTAAAAGGTTTTTATATCAGTTTTGCTTGTACTTGCCAGTAGTGGTGTTATTAAATCACCTGGCTATGACATTAATTAAAATAGAAAAAAGGAAGAAATCTTTTTTTATCCACATAGTATGTTCTGGCACCTTCCGGGCCTGGCTCGTGCTTGGTTGCCATAAAGCTTGGAATAGAAATGCTTAAAATTTGAGTCAGAAGTAGAGATTAACACTAAAATGGAATTTCTTTAAATTAGCAGGTATCTTTCATGTGAAGAATAGTTAAATCCAAATTATTTCAAAAGGACTGAGAAAATACCCTAGGAAAGGCAGGGTCGCATAAAACCAACCTCATTCAGCCATGCCTGCTGCATGGGTCAGATATAGCACCACCTGGTGGAACGCTGCTGTAATTTCTCTTGTTGCTCCTGTTACTAACAGGAGCCTAAAGTGACTGTATTTATTCAGGCGAACCACACTCCCTCCTCACCCCGACCCCAAAAGTATTCCTTGGAAAAATAATTTTCCTTCCACTCCTATAAGCAAGGCAGTAGGTACTGCAGAACACTTCTGCGAATTCCAGTACACCTGAGAAAAACCGAGCAACCCCGCCGTGCGTCCTGGTAGGCTATGCCCTCCACCCAGTGCAGAGCTCAAAGCTGCCGCTGGCTTGGATTTGAAACGACAACCGTTTCCCAGCTGAGACTTCTGTCTGTGAGGAGGAGAGCTAAATTCCACGCAGCCCCTTTCTTCGCCCGTTCATTCGCACGCCTCCGGCTGCTCTCAAGTGACCTGCAGCTCACGCCTGGCCTTGAGCTTGAGGCTGTCAGTCTCCCTGGCCTCGCTCCATTATTTTGCTTCTTTCTTACAAGAGCTGAAGGAGATTTTATTTCTAAGAATTACAGAATATTAGAATATCACCTCTGTAACACCCCATGAAGGGGTCAAACAGCCTTCTCTTGAAATTTCCGTAACAGCCCCAGTTTACATAATGTCTACCGCAGTGTTGCATATGCATGTAACTGAAAGATGATCGAATACAATGGCACTGAAACTAAGTGGGAGGCATTGTGTCCCTGCCCCTGAAATAGGGGATATTTGAAAATGTCTGGAGGTACTCTGGGTTGTCATAACTGGGTGATACTACTGGCCTCTAGTGGACAGGAGCCAGGGATACTGTGACACATCTTACAAGGCATAGGACAGCCCCCACAACAAAGAACTACCCAGTCCAAAAGGTCAGTTCTGGTCGAAAATGACTTCTTGGCCACCAAGATGGCGGGGTAGGAAGACCCAGAGCTCAGAGGGCCCGCCCAGACTACACCTGTTTACAGACCATCCATCAATGCAAGCGACCCGAAGACTAGCAGAAAAGATCTTCTGCAACTAAGGATATACAGAAGGAACCCAAACAAGAAGGGTACAGTCAAGACCCACATCCCCAGGTGGGTGACTCACAAATGGGAGGATAATCACACTTGTAGAGGTTCTCCCCAAGAAGTGAGGGGTCCAAGACTCATATCGAGCTTCCCGGGCCTGGGGTCCTCCATCAGGAAGACGAGCCCCTATAACGTCTTGCCTTGAAGGCCAGTGGGGCTTGCATTCAGGAGACGCAAGGGGCTGTAGGAAATGGAGACTCCACTTTTGAAGGGCTCGTGCAGAACTGCACACACTCCAGGTCCCAGCTCAGAGGCAATAATCCGAAAGGAGCCTGGGTCAGAACCAGCTGCTGACTTTAAGAGTCTCCAGGAGAGACAGGAGGCAACTTGGACTCCCCCTGTGGACACAGATACTGGAAGCAGACATTTTGAGGAGCTGCTTCTACCACGAGGACACTGGTGCTGGCAAGTCCTCCCTCTTGCCTGTTAGTGTGGAGGCTTACCCGCCTGCCAGCTGGTCACCATCAGTCCTGGGACCCCCTCAGGCTGAGCAGAGACCTGGCCCTGCCCACTAGCAGGCCTGAACCAGCCCTGGGAGCCCCTGGCCCCATAGCTAGCATGCCAGGACCCAGCACTGCACACCAGTGGGCTGCCCCATAGCCAGCTGCCCTAGGACACCCCGGGACACCCCAGGGCTGCAGCCAGCCTCCCCAGGACCCTGCCTCACTCACCAGTGGGCCAGCACCAGCCCAGGGACGCCACGGGCCTGGCAGCCAAGTGGACCAGGGGCCAGCCCCGTGTTGCAGCGCACCCACAGTAGTCAGCCCAGCCACA